AGATACTTTTTAAAAATCCACCTAAATGGATGTTTAAATGCATTAGAAATTAAACTTGAAAAAAAAATACACTACTGAGAAATAAACAGGAAAAACTCATTGAACGTTTGGCTTTCAGAGACTAGACATTAAATTCAGAGTATATAAACCTGTATTCATTCAAGGCATTTTAACAAAATCATAGCCATGAAAACTTTGCTGCAGATGAATCAGATTAAAGCCAGGAATAAAAAATGATTGAGCTGACTTCAAAAGGGAGTCTGTAGTTCAGCCTTTGGGTCTTCAGCTTAAAATTCTTCAGGAAAAAAAAAAAAATGCCCTCAAAATAAGAACTTAAAAACCTCAAAAGTGTCAGCAAAAACATACAGAAATTATATAGCCTCGTTTCACAGTCAAAAACACAGAAATAAAGAAATTAAAAATTACATAAACCTCAGTTCTGGTGATATGACAGTAGAGATGTCCTCCTGCACCAGGCCAGTGGTAGCACAGCTCCAGCAGTTAGGCCCCAGCATCATTGATGCTGAGCCACTGACAGAGTGGTATCTTAACTAAAAATAATAGCTCCAGTGAGGATGGGCATTGTTTTTGGCTGCAAAGCTTCTGAGTATACCTCGAAGATTCTCCCTGAGAGGTTGAGCTGCCTGGTATCATTTAATAAATTATTTTCCTGCTTAAGCAAATTAATCAAGCAAACAACCAACATTAAATCAGCCAACAAACCAATTTGTCCTTCAACTAGGGTTACGTAACCAATGATTAAGAAGCAAGGGAAGGAAAAGAGTCATTGATTAACTATAAAAGTAAGCAAAGGTAAAATGTAGGTTTACAAGCATTTTAACCAATTACTTAATGTCGGCTGTATTTTATATGGTTAAATGCAGTCTTTTTATTTCACTGTTTTTAAAAGCCAGTGCTTATTTTGATTTAGCATTGCGTTCAACATTTATTTCACTGTAGAATCACCTTCTATGGCGCTGGCGTAATCTACTTTTAACTTTCTAGAAATTGTAGAGTGTATTAAAAAGTTTGTTTAACCAGACTAATTTATGAAGTGTTAAATTAAATCTTCATTTATATTCTTCTGTTAAGCATTGGCAAGGGCTATATTAAAAATAATTTCAGCCTTGGCCAGTTTCGCTCAGCGGTTAGAGCGTTGGCCTGCAGACCAGAGAGTCCCAGGTTCGGTTCCCGTTAAGGGCACGTACCTCGGTTGCAGTTTGTCCCTGGCCCCAGCTGGGGTTGTGTGGGTGACAACCACTCAATGTGTCTCTCTCACATTGATGTTTCTTTCTCTCTCTTCCTTCCTCTCTCCCTCCCACTCTATAAGATAAATGCAAAAATGTCCTCAGGTGAGGATTTAAAAAATAATAAAAATAATAATAATTTCAATTATATTCAATAAGCCTTTTATCAGTAAATTGTTGTACCTGACCTTATGCAATTAAATACATTAAATCAAATCTTGATTTGAAGGCACAACAGAATCAGCTAATTTAAAGATGCTTGTAAATTTTTTAAATTTGGGAGTCTTTCTGTAAAATAAAGAATGACAATTCCTCTTTTGCTTTAATGTGCTTATTGTTTCACAGTTGAATTAATAGAATATTAAATTTTCTCTGCATGGCATAGAGCTCCACACCTGGGCTAAAGCACCCCTGTAATCAGGGAGCAGTTCTAGGAAACAGAAACCAGTCTAGTTGTGTTAATGCAGGAAATGATTTAATACAAGAAACTAGGTGCTTATTAAATCACTGAAAGACTGGAGAAGTAAACTCTAAGCTTGGCCTACAGGTATGACTTTCAGAATAATGCCAGCAAACAGACACCTGGGGAGCAGACACCTTTGCTACTGTTAGAAGCAAAGAATCAGAAGACTACTGCCAATCAATTGTTGAACTGAAGAAAATGCTATTATAATATCAGGAATCTACTACAACTGCCTCTTGACATACAAAAAGCTTGTGACTAGCCACTGCAAAGTTGCTTTCAAAGCAAAACAAAATAAAACATAGCCTCCATTGCAACAACACAGAAGCAATGGAAATATGGCTTTCATTCCATTTTCAAATTAATTGCCAGACTTTCTGAAGCCCTGAAAGGTTACCATGCTATGAGGAAGCCCAAGCCTCCGGAAGAAGCCAAAATTGGCAGTCCCAACTGAACTCAGCCTTTGCATCATTCTAGCCCAGGCATGTGAGTAAAGAAACCTCCAGCCCTGTCCTGTGGGGCTCAGTTGGTTGAGTGTCATCCTGTGCACCAAGAGGTCGCTGGTTCCATTCCCAGTCAAGGGCAAGTGCCCAGGTTTCAGGTTTGGTCCCCTGTCAAGGTATATGGGAGGCAACGGATCAATCAATCGATGTTTCTCTCTCCCTCTCCTTTCCTCTCTCTTTAAAATCAAAAACATATTTGAAGAAAAAAAAAAGAAGAATCTTCCAAAAGATTCCATGTCCTCAGCTATTCATGTATTCCCAACTAAGGTCCCAGACATCATGGATATAATATCTCTACCTTGCCTCAGCCTACTTAAATTATGGCCCACAGAATCTGTGAACATAATATAATGATTGTCAGTAACATTTGTAGTGGATTTTTATACAAGAGCTAACCCAAACACATAATATCATAGATATTTTATGTTTCAATTTATTTAGCATTTCAGAAACATTTTCAAAGGTCATCATACTATTATGTCTTTATATACCACATTTTACCTAAAATTTTATGCTCAATTTTAAAGGATAGCTGGTGTCCAATTTTTATCTATAAAAACTAAAACTACAGAGACTACTTTTATCCATAGAGGTTTTTGTTTTTCTTTTATATTTAGAATTATTTATCATAAATTTCCAGAATAACTGTGTCTGGGCTATGACCAAATTTCTTGCTAAATGTTTTGTATCAATTTACATCTATCTTGAATATTTAGCATGGTAGAAAAACAAGTTTTAAATAAAGCAAATTTACTTCCATTTATTTAAAAATTTTATGTACAAAAATAAATCCTTCAATTTAATCAGCCCTATTGAAAACAGAAATATATGGCCAAAAACCCCGGGCTGCCCATATATGGAAATGTAAGCTAGACCTTGAGTCAAACATAAGACTCTGAGGAAAATTTGGTCACTACAGCATATTCGGGGGTTAAAGGGAGGGGCAGAAAGACTAGCATGTTGAGTAATCTCATAATTGATACTGTCCTGTTATGAGCTGAAATGAAATAATATTCGCATGGAACTGCCAGCAAGAGATGGTAATAGCTAGGCAGAGGCTTTGGCTTAGCAAGTGCAAGGGGTCTGGCTAAGTAAACAAATTTTACTATTCCTCAGGCTCTGCCATATACTCTTGTACCTGGCTAAGAGAGTTGTGAGTCCACCCCACATCTTTCTGGATGAGCAGTGAGCTGTAGAACAAGGGGCAATTTGTCCTAACTGGTGTACCCAGGGTGGGGCTTACTTTTATAATTTGTACCCACAAAGTAGTTGCAATTTTCTAATTTATTCTAAGCCCTTGTTAGTGCTAGCTGTTGCCCTATCTGTAAGACTAAATCTGATAGTGAAGGAGGGGTAGAGCTCTTGACTTCAGCTGACTCTTCATGGGATATTTCTGCCTTCCCACCTGGGAAATCTCAGGTTTCTGGGATGTATGTTAGTATGGAAGATGACTGGCCCTGAAGGGCTTGGATCTCACTGTGCATTACACAAGCCACTCCTAAGCCCTCCCAAATAATTAAATGACCCTGTGTCCTAGTTTTCAAACATACAAACACTTAATGAAAAAATTGTGATTAGAATCCTGCCTCCATGATTACTACTTATGTAATATTGGACAATTTTCTGAAGACTTTTTTCCTGAGTTTCAGTTTTCTCATCTCCAAAATCAAGATAGTAAAACACATACCTTGCAGGGTTGTTGTGAAGATTAAATGAATAATGTGTATAAAATGCCTGGCATTTAAAATATTCAATAAATGTTAACTCTCATTTAAAAAAAAATAGTAAAACACACAAGTGTATTCAAATAGTGAAACCTAATTCTCGTCCTTGCATGAGCTGCAAGGGAACCTAGGAAATGTACAATTTTAAGTGTTCAAACTCTGCAATGTAGAAAGTATGTAATGGAGTGGACACTGAGTGCCAGTCCATGTAACTCTATTGCCTTTTGGATGACCAAATGTAAACATTTAAAATGCATTTTGAATACTGCAGAACTATGAGATAATATTTCAAATATTATTGTTTAGCATTAAGAAAAATAAGACATTTTTATACAGTTATTTCCAAGTCTTTAAGTAATTTCAAAACAGCTAAACTCACTCTAAATAGTACTGTTTCTCTTAGAAATGAGCAGTGTTAACACTCTGAAACAAGTGACAATAATAATTTTGTTCAGACTTTACCATATACCAGCAAGTATTTCTGCATGTGACATGTTTTATCACAAAAACTCCTTGAGGCAGATAAAAATATTCCCAGTTTACAGAAGAGGAAACTAAAGCATAAACACTTCAATAATTTGTAAAACTAGTAGAATTTGGATTTGAGCCCAGGCAGTCTAGCTCTAGAGTGAATATTCTTAAGAACCATTCTCAACTGCACACAATAAGGTGCTTCCACTCTATAATTTAATCTGAAAGCACTCGAAGCATTTCCAAAACTTAAATAGGTATTTATTTAAATTAATCAAAAGAAAGTTTAGTACTATAACCTATTTTGTATTGCAATTAAATGGTAGACTATATAGTGAGGATATAGAATAGTAAACTATGTTAATTAGTCAAATTTTAAAAATGAATCTTATATTTAATAAATATCTTATTAAATTTTTGGCTAACTACTGAAATTGTAACAAAATTTTAAAATACCAAGGATTTAGCCATCTTTTCATGGCTTGAACAAAAAGAATTCGCATTCTTCTTCATTTATTAACCTATGCACTTGGATTCCTTTATATTAAGATTTAATTATGATGTTTATGCTGCTTTCTTCCTCTTGGTACAGATCATGTAAATGGACACTGCACAAGTCCAACTTCTCAGACTTGCAGTTCTGGAAAACGACTTTCTAGTGCTGATGTTTCAAAAGTAAATCGCTGGGGTCCTGGAAGACCACCATTTCGAAAAGCACAGTCGGCTGCTTGCATGGAGATTACTTTACCAGTTACAACAGAAGGTAGGTTAAACATACAAATATTTTTGGATACAATTAAAATTTGACATACGATGGTAATGGGAACTGGAGGATAAGGAATGGAGGTCATGTGTAAAAGATATAAAAAACTAGTCAACTCTAGTCAATGAGTAACAGCCTGGTCAGGCTATGGCCATGACTTCTGCACTACACCTCCTCCTTTACCTCCAAAACCAGGGTGGCTCTGCTTATTGGCAGATTCTTACCTCTTCTGTACAAAGGGAGACCAATGCCTTAATCTGTTGTCTACATTCCAATGACAATTAAGAGTTTCTTTCCATCTCAGTGGTAAGCCTCTTAGTGTCTCTATCTGTAAATAGTTAATATCTGGCAACCTTAATTTCTCAACTCTCTAGTGCATGTGATAAAAAAAAGGGGGAAGGCAAGATACTGAATTCTAGAGTGTATAGTCTCCTTTTTCATATGTTTAAAAAAGGATTATTTGCTTACTTATGGAATGATTGTGGGGACAGAGAGTAAAGTACAAGAGCCAGAAGGCCAGAAATTTTTAGAGAGAGGAAAAACAGGAGGGAATCCTGTAACTTTGCTGCTACTGTCCTGCTGATAAAGAACTTTGTGGAGAGAGATAGGGGAAAATTATCTTAGAAAGATTTGCTGAGGTAATTCTATTCTGTCCCTCAGAATATTTGATAACAATGATCTATATTATTCTTCAAAATTTTTAAATAATTTTTTTTTAGTTTTTTTTGTTTCTTTAATATTATGCCATACTAAATCTGGCCCATGGATGTGCAGACATTGTTATCTATCACAAGTGCCTATGAGTAGCAACCATAAATATTGATGAACCATGAATGGAAAAATTGGAGGAACATATTAGCTAGGAATGTTATAATATAAGCAAAATGTAAAGGTTATAAAAGAAGCAGCACTCAATCACTGGATTGAGAATTGGGAATTTTGAGTTTTAGATATTTCTGCTCCTAATTTGTGATGCATTCTGGGAAAATTACTTAACTCTATGTCTCTGTCTCCAAATCTATAAAATATATAGATTATAGCCAAGCTTATTCTCATCTCTAAATTCTATTACAAACAATTATGTTTATAAACTTGCCGAGAGATAAAAGGGGGAAATTAGGTATACTATATTTTGTTTTCTAGGAAAAGCATAGTCTAAGGAATTCAGTCTCTTTTTATAAAAATGAGTCACTTCTGCCTATCAAGAGGGAAAGGAGTGAAGGCAATAGAAAGAAGAATATGAGGAACTTGTACTCTGAAGTTTCTAAGAACAGTACAACCTTTGTAATACACTTTAACTGAGGCAGTGAGTCTGTGCTTGCTGGAGGGTACGCAATTGTGTGAGTGTTGAACAGGACAACCTGAGACCATCCTGTATTTTTCAAGTGGGCTAAAGCCTCTCAGAAAGATGACCACTATCGACAGGATGGCACTGTCTACAGCTCCTACGCAGTTAGGACTGAATTTGATTCAAGGTAGGCAGCTGGAAACTAGTTCAGGAAGATAACCTTTGCTCTTTGGCCTTGGTAAATTGTTCAGTTTTTTACAACTATAATCACTCCAGATATAGCAAAACCAAAAGTTGCATTAGGGGAATGTATTCGCCATAAAACATTCATGACCCTTCAGGTTAGTAGCCACAATGTTGTCCGTAAGTGGAAATTGCTAAGAAATCATTAGGAATACTTCTAACAATTGAGAGACAGAAGGAAAGCATAATTAAAGTGGTAGCAAAGTTATTCTTATAACTTTGACTATTTAGAATAATTTTTTTTTTCAGATAGAGATTTTCAATTAATTTGTGAGGAGATGTAAAGAGAAAATTAGTGAACTGAAGAGTCAGGTTCTAGTCCCAGCTCTGGTTAAGTTTTTGATTTACACTTCTGGACTTTAGTCTCTTCCTTTTCAAAATAACTTGGTGAACTGGATAAGCTGCCTTCCAGATCACCTAACAAAGAATCAAATTCTACATCCCCTCTTAATGTTGGTTTTCACATACTAAGTCTGACTTTACTTTTTCTAGAGATGCACTAACATTTAAAAAATGTTTTTAATTTCCACAGAAAGCCGAGAAAATTCCTATAATCGTTCTAGAAGTTCTAGCATCTCCAGTATTGACAGAGATTCTAAAGAAGCAATTACAGCACTGTACTTCATGGAGTCCTTTGCTCGGAAAAATGACTCAGCCATCTCCCCTTGTTTGTTTGTTGGAACTAGTCTTGGAATGGTGTTAATCCTCTCCCTGAACCTACCTTCAGCAGATGAACAAAGACTCACAGAGCCAGTCATGGTATTGCCAACTGGTAAGAATTTTTATTCTTTCATTGCTACTTTTGAAAATTTAAATATAAGGTATTGTAAAACATTGATTTGTATTTATCTGGAGCAAAGATTATAAAGTAGTCCATGTAATAGGAACTATTGAGAATTTCAAAGTCATATACTATTTCAACATTTGTTATATTGCAACTTACCTCTCCATTAGGATAAAATAGCACAACCATATGGTAGTGAAACTGCCAACCTAAACAATGCCTTGGGAAATAAGTTTCTGAAAAGTACTGAAAAAAAAAAACCTCACTGCAAAAGTTAAAAAGTTATTTGTAATGAATTAAAGCATTACTCTAAAGTTCCATGCCAGATCAGAGCCTATGAGTGTTTTTACATCATCCTTGAAGAACTCAGAATGATTAAGCTAGACGTGGTCTGACTTGAGGTGGCTTTCTAAAGTCCTTGATAATCTCCTCGTCGTTTCACACAATTTCTTTCCTTTTTATCCTACTGTCTAGAGACCTTGACCTAAATTATGAGTGTTGTTGTTAAAGCATATGTTATATTCTCTTCCTACTTGAATTATCTTTTTCTTTCAAAAAAGAGATGAGTGAGATTACTCCTATTATTCCTTTTATTATTTTTACACTTGTTCTTAATAACTTTTACTGTCTCCTGTTCTTATTTATGACAAAAACTCTGAAACACATTTCTTAAGTAAAAAAATAATAATTTTATTAATATATAGTATAAGGAGTTTTATTTTAAAAGACTATAAATGGTATGGTAGGTTAAAGTTGTGTGTTCCTTGTTTACTGGTGTGCTAAATTCATATGTATGAATTATTACTTTTGTAGGTGGAATAGTCAACACTCTACTAGTGTGGCAAATTCACAGAAATGTATGTGTGTGTGGCTTAAACAACAGTTATTTCCCCATACTTCTGAAGGCTAGAGGTCCAAGATTAAGGTGTTGGCAAGTTTGGTTTCTTCTGAGGCCTCTCCTTAACATGCAGATGGCCATCCCTCTATATGCTTGTACCCACTCCCCACCCCGTTTCTGAGTGTCCTAATCTCCTCTTCTTAGAAATACCCTAGTCAGTTGGATTAGGGCCCACCCTAACAGGCTAATTTTGACTTAATCACCTCTTTAAAGTCTCTATTTCAAATATAGGGCCATTCTGAGCTACTGGGGTTTGGAGCTTCAATATATAAATGTAAGGTGGGGGGCAATTCAGACTATAAAATGCATTGTATTTTACAAGTTTATCTATTTAGATTATTTTCCAATTATAGTCAACATACATTATGTTACTTTCAGATGTATATTAGTGATTTGACATTTATAAACCTTTTGAAATGATCACCATAAGCCTAGTGACCATCTGACACTACATATAGTTATTACGATGTTATAGATTATATTCCCTATGCCCCGTGACTTATTTTATAAATGGCAGTTTGTACATCTTAGTCCCCTTCACTTTTTTTACTCATCCCCCAACTCCCTGCCATCTGGTAATCATCAGTTTGTTCTCTATATCTGTAAGTTTGTTTCTGAGTAAAATAAGTAAGACAGAGGGAGACAAAAACGATATGATTTCAATTATATATGGATTCTAAAAAACAAAACAAATGAGCAAACAAAACAGAAACAAACTCATAGATACAGAGGATTATTTTAATTTTAAACTTATTTCACAATGAGAACATATCTTTTACATATTTCTAATTTTTAAGGAAACATGCACAATTCTCTTAGTCCTTAGCCCACTTTTTAGTGAAATTAAGAATTGGTATTTTGAAAATAACCAAATTGACAAACTTTTAGCTAGACTAAGAAAAAACGAGAGAAGACGCAAATAAAATCAGAAATGAAAGATGAGTCATTACAATTCATAACACAGAAATAAAAATTATATGCCAACAAACCAGATAACCTAGAAGAAATGCATAAATTCCTAGAAACATATAACCTACTAAGACTGAATCATGAAGAAATAAAAAGTCTGTACAGACATGTAACTAATTAAGGAGATTGAATCAGTAATCAAAAACCTCTTCACAAAGAAAACCCCACTTCTTTTCTAAGGAATCTTTTCACATACATTTATCTTAATTATCTTCACAACAGATTCTAATCAATGATATGGAAACTAAGTCGTTGAATTTTAGAACGAGAAAGCATCTAGAGTATCCATCTAGTAGTGATCACTGTGGTCTGAATCAGAATCACTTGGAGGGTTTGTTACAACACAGATTGTTCGGTGCTACCCTGGAGTTTCTAATTTAAAAGGTCTGGGCTGGGGTCTAGGGATTTGTGTTTTTAACAGGCTCCTAGGTGATACTGATCATACAAATGCAACTTTTCAGGCTGGGATGGAAAAGCCTACAGTTCTTCCCTCCTGGATAAGGAAAAACCCAGTCCCCCCGTCTGTGCTTCTCTTGTGTGTCACTTTATCTCCCTACTTTCATTTACACTACTGCCACACACACAGCTCTTCTTACACAAGAGGTGTGGAGGTGTTTTTCCCCCCACAACAAGCAATTCTCTGCAACACTTGGCTGGGTGTCCCACAATTTAACTCAATTCTGACACTGGAGATAACATCAGATCCATCCCACAAGGGCTCAGTCCCAGAAGACTGAGGCCAGTCACAAGTCTAGGTTGTTACTGCCTGTGCCTCAGCTATAAATCAGAGGCCACGACCCCCTCCTTGGATTTGATTACTTTGCTACAACAACTCACAGAACTCAAAAAAACTGTTTACTTACTGTTTCCAGTTTATTACAAAGGGATACAGATGAATATCCAGATAGAAGAGGTGTGAGCACAAAGTATGTGGGAAAGACACAGAACTTCCATGCCTCTCCTCGAACCTTCACCTTTTCGCCAACCCAGAAGCTCTCCCAAATCCCTCCCTTTAGGTTTTTATGGAGACTGAATTACACAGGCATGATTGATTAAATTATTGGCCATTGGTGATCGAGCTCAATCTTCAGCTCCTCTCCTTGAGGCCAATCCTGTAAGCATTTGGTTGGTTCCCCTGCAACTAGCCCCTACCCTAAAGAGAGGGCCAATAATTGCCTTATTAATATAACAAAACCTGTGTTGCTCTCATAGCTTAGGAAATTCCAAGGGTTTTAGGAGCTCTGTGCCAGAACTAAGGATGAAGACCAAATACATATTTATTAAAAATCACAATATCACACATGCATATTAAGCTTAATCAAAATCCTGGTTAAATTTAATTCTACCTACTTTATTTCATACCTGTGTGGTTGAATATGGCTGGAGAAAATATATAACCATACTAGTAGTCTCATTTTGAAATAAGTCACCAATAACCTCTAGTGGGCTCCTGTAATTATACTATAGTTGCTGAGTAATTATATAGTTATCTCATTCTCTCTCCCACTCTCTTGAACAATTGCAATTTTCTCCACTCTCCTCAAACCTCCAATACCTCCTCCTCTGTTTTCAATCTCAACTAATAATGATGTGTCCTCTTTCACTGATGCAACTGAAACATGGAACAGACTTATGGATCCTAGAGGGAAGAATTTATATGCATATATGCATAATCCATGAACATGGGCAGACAGTATTGTAGTGAAGGCCTGGGGGTGGTGTGAGGCAATGGGGGGAAAATGGGGACATCTGTAATATTCTCAACAATAAAGATAAACAAAATTAATAAATAAATAAAAATTTTAAAAAGGAAAGAAAACAATCAGATTAAGGACTTCAGCAGCTGCCACCACACATCTACCAACCTATCTGCCTCTATCTTCATGGTCTCTATATTCTCTATTATTATGACTAATCTATGTAAGCTCCTAACCTGGTCAACTTCTCCACGTGCACCTAGATTCTGGCCCCTTTCAACTTCTCAAGAAAGTCAATCCAGCAATTTTTTTTTTTATAATTATATTGTTATATGTATTTTATTACATATAATTGTATAATTGTAATAAATATGTCTATTAAATCAGCATACAAACATGCTATTGTTTTTCTCATTAAAAGAGGAAAACCCTCTCTTAAATCTATTCTCCCATAATGCCCCATTTCACTTCTTTATCTTTAATGCAACACTCCTTGAAGTGGTTGTTACATTCACTCTTTCTAATTTTATTCTCCCATTCTCTCTTGAGTACATTGTGATCAAGTTTTCTCCCACACCAATCAACAAAAGTCTCAATATAGGTCATCACGGATCTCATTGCCAATCCAGTGGTCAATCCTCAGGTAATACCTTACTTGACACAATTTACCTTGAAACACTTCACTTGGATTCCAGACACTTTATTTACCTAGTTTTCCTCCTATATTTCTAGCCAGTCCTTCTCAGTCCTCTTTGTTATTTCCTTTTCACTTCACTGGACTTAAAATACCAGAATACCCAAAGACTAAATTTTTGAATCTTTTCTGTTTTCTATTTGTATTCAAACCCTAGATGAAATCAGCTAGCCTCATGACTTTAAATGCCATTTATAATCTGATGGGTCATATATCTACTTATAGACTGGACCTATCCCCAAATTCCTGACATAAATATCCAGTTACTTGACATCCAGTGGATACCTAATAAGCATCTCAAGCTTAATATGTCCTGAGCCCTAATTCCTATAGTATGGTGCCTCCTCTTCTGTATTTATCTGCTCAAGCAAATACACCACCACAGACTAGTAGGTTTAAAGAACAGACATGTATTTTCTCACACTTATGAAGACTGGAAGTCCCAAATCAATGCGCCAGCAGTGTTGGTATCTGGTAAGAGCTCTCTCCTCCGGTTGCAGACACTTCTCACTGTGCTCACCGCCTTTCTCCTGTGTCCCCACGGAGAGGAAGAGAGAGCTCTCTGGGGTTTCTTCTTGTAAGGACACCAATTCTATCATATCAGCCCCCCCCCCCATGACCTCATTTAGCCTTAATTATTATTTCCTGAGAGGACCCATCTCCAAATACATTCACACTGGCAGTTAAGGCTTCAATATATGAATTTGGGGAGGGGAGAGGTATTGACACTTAGTCAATAACACCTTCTACCCTACTTAAAATTTAATCACATTCTTTCCCAAAAATTCCTATACCTTTTCTGGTTTATTTTTTCCTTAGTACGTATTACTACTTAATATCTCATATATATATACTTATCATATATATTTTCTGTATCATAGAAAATAAGTTCTATGTAGGGGGATTTTTGTCTTTTTTATTCACTGTTGTATCCCTTGTGCCTAAAACAGAGCTAGAACATATAGTAAGCCCTCGATAAATATTTCTTGACTGAATGCATGAAGGTTGTAGTAGGGAGGGTTGGTTATTTGGAAAGCTGGAGTCAGGTATACTCCTAGCCTGTGAGACCTCCTTTAAGAAAGAAGTCCTAATTAAGTGTGTGGTCAATTATTTACTGTAGACCAGTGGTTCTCAACCTTCCTAATGCCTCGACCCTTTAATATAGTTCCTCATGTTGCATGTGGGCGTATCTGCATGTGGGCGGACCCGCCTGGAGACAGAGGAGCAGTGTCTCTTTTCTAAGTCCATCAGAAATATGTGTTTTCCGATGGTCTTAAGCAACCCCTGTGAAAGGGTCATTCGACCCCCAAAGGGGTCGCGACCCACAGGTTGAGAACCGCTGCTGTAGACTGAATTGTTAAGATCTTATAGAAAGCCCTTAAATTGAAGCTTGCTTTGTAATGAGGTATATTTCCAAAATAGTAAAGATTGTGGTTTGGATTTGCTTACATTTCTTTTCCTTTTTTTTTTTTTTTTTGTAAATTAAGAAAGATTAAGGACAGAGTGATAAGGATTAATAATACATTGTTGAGAAAATTTAAAACCCTGTAAAAACCTAATGAACAGAATATAAACAAAATCTTTTTTACACAAATTAGGAAACAAAGCAGCTATTTTGGCAAGGGCACCTTATTGAGAAATTGTTGTTTTGATGCTGACAGCTTGTCAGCATCAAGTATAAGTAAAATGGCTAAAAAAAATATAGATTTCTTGTCTTTTTAACCTAATTTAGGCTATCTCTAAATTGAGGATGCTAAGCTATTTATACTTAGAAAAGTTTTCCCTTGGCAGGTAGTTATGGTAATATGCTTTTTTATAGAAGGATCAATTCTAATTAAATCATTCATCATAGCTTTTGGCATTATTTTTCCTTCGTGGGAGGTTGGGAGAGCTAGTTTTTTTATACCTTGACCCTCAGACTGAAGTGTCTAAACCCTCACTCTCCTTCCTCTCCAGTTACCTAGCAGGACATTCACAGGCCACAAATTCTGGTTTTCAAGTGAGTTTAAAAACACAAATGAGATGTTAAAGCTCTAAACATGTTATTTTGAATTTGATAAATTTTAAGTACTTCAAGTTATAAAGTATTTTCTGAACAAAATGTGTTTTTATATATCACCTTCCCTTTTCATGTCTCTGTCACATGTACACTCTTGAAGCCTATCAGCCTGATTAATCTCCTTACTTTCTCTACATGATGTCAAAGGACAAAGGAAAAAAAAGGCTGCTAGGGCACTACTTAAGGGAGAGCCTGGAAATGTCCAAAGGTCAGTCTTCCAAGTTACCTCCTAAGCTTTATAGTATCCTGGCTTCTGGGACTGGTAAACATCACCCATAGGGAGAATCTGGCATGGATATTCAACCTTAGAAAAAACAGGTTAGTGAACATCTTTTCAGTATAAAGATGGATTGGCCTGCCCAAGGGCCAAAGGTAGTTTGTTTTATTCCATATAATCACAATTGTTAGCATAAACTCTAGATGGTAAAATTTCATGAACTTTATTATGAGTGCTCAATTTCAGAAGAAGGAAAAAAGCATTTTCTAGTGCATGAGCCTATGAAAGAAGTGGAATCAGATGGCATGATTATTTTTTCAGTTGAGGTTATTTCTATCAATTAAAAGCATACATTTTCTAAAATTTGATTTTAAAAAAAAAGGCTTTTAAGGGGGATTATATAGTATATAGAAAGAACACTGGATTGGGAGTCAGGAAACCTGAGTTCTAGTCCAAGCTCATCAACTAACTTGCTTTTGACTTGGCCCAAGGCACATTATCTTTCCTAGGTCTCCATTTTTTATCCATATGAGAACATTTGACAAGTTGATGCCTTAGGCTCCTGTCAGAACTAACATTCTATGATTCCAAGTTATTGCAAATGATGGACTCACAAATCTACTGATTCATGTATATTACTGCAATATTATGGTACTATAGATATAAATTATCATAATATAAAACATCTATTGCCTATAGATTAATAACATGTTTTAGAAAGAATTTCATATGCCAATAATATGAAATTGTTTTTATAGGTACATTCCTCTCCTTGAAAGGAGCTGTGCTAACATTCTCCTGCATGGATCGAACTGGTGGGTTAATGCAACCACCCTATGAGGTTTGGAGGGACCCAAACAACATAGATGAAAATGAAAAAGCTTGGAGAAGGAAGCTGGTCATGAACTGCCCCTCTCTGTCACAAGAAGTAGGAGATCATCAGTATATAATAATCTGCTCAGAAAAACAAGCCAAAGTTTTCTCACTGCCTTCTCAGACTTGCCTTTATGTTCACAACATCACCGAGACATCTTTTATACTGCAAGCAGACGTGGTGGTCATGTGTAACAGTGCCTGCTTGGCATGCTTTTGTGCCAATGGGCATATCATGATAATGAGGTACTTGCCTTCTTTATAAATTATCTAGTAATCACAACAGTGCCAACAAAGCACAGTTCTGAAAAATATATATGTAATGTGTGAGATGTTATCAAAAAGCAACCTGAGATCCATGTTTTATTATATTTTTGAATGTTTTGTTCCATAATTTGACAAGTTTTTAGCTTTTTTATTTTTAATTTTTGTTGGGCTTTTTTTTTTTTTTGCTAAAAATGCTTTGCACTGTGAATAAAATATATTTTCTAATTGACATTAAGGAACCTAAGGAAAGAGTGATTTTTCCAGTCATTCACACATTCATTCAGCAAACATTTATTGAGCATTTGTTATCTCCCAGAAGCTATGCTAGACACTGGAAATATAAAGATGAATAAACTATAAGGAAAAAAAGTGAACTATTACTTTTATTATGTTTCATAGTCCACACAAGAATTTTACATACAGAATTTAATTTGATCCTTATAGCTTCTCTAGGACACAGAAAAAGTGTTATTTACATCCACCATTTTACATATGCTAATGAATTAACCTCTTCCCCACTGCCACCCATTAATTTGACTGAGTCTATCATGGGTGTCTGTTTAACTTGATTCATTTTGGACTCATATCCTAAGAAGCTTAGTTACTGGAAATGCCATAATATATGCTTTTTAACATTTTTTTTTTCATACCAAGTCTTTGAAATCCAGTATATGATTTACACTTATAGAACATCTCAGTTCAGATGAGCCATATATCAACTGCTCATCAGGCACATTGGCTAGTGGCTGCCATTTTGGACAGCACAGTGCTAGAACTTCATGAAAAACTTATTTCAACAGCACATATTCCAGGTCCCATTTTGTAGGGTTAGGGTCTAGGGTTTAAATTGTAATTACAAACTACTTTGACATGAGAAATTAGTACTTTTTTCCCCAAGGTTCTGGTTTTATGATCTGGGATGATTTAAAATCATTGTGAACACTGGAATTAGTAGAATGATTTCAAAGTTTGAGATATAATTACAAGTTTATTTTTTTCCTCTTGGCATTAGAGGTGTGACTTAAAAGCATTGAGACTGGTTTTCTTCATAGTTTGTAAAATTGGCTCTAATGACAGTATCCAAAGGGACAGTCTGATGATTAAGCGAAATCATTGGCTACAACCTTAGGATAAGCATAGAGCCTTTCGGTAAGACACTGGAAATGAGTGGTGTTTATTTGGATGTGCAATTTCTCATTTATTATTTATAACTTATTATCATTCCTTTGTAGCCCTGGTCATGCCTTGTAGCTCTGGATATTTATTAGTCATGCCTTCAGTGCAGGTGCCCTAAGTCATAGGTACTTTTCACTTCCTGTGTGTTGAGGGAGTAAAGGAAAGAGGAGCAAAGCCACTCCATTCCCAGGCACAGTGAACTGGACCCCTTCATGTCTCATCAGTTCATAACCTTCTTAGACTCAGAAGTTCTGCCTTAGAAGACCAAGTATGCAGTCGGTGCTTTCTAGTGGTAGTGTTTCTGCCATAACCAAAGACTAGAACCATATTGAAGGAACCTGTGAAATGCTGCAAAAAACATCCTGAAATTGCTGGCCACTGCATTTAATCCATTCTTCAAGGATATTTGCTAAATATCTAGATGGATAAGATAGAAGAATTATGCCCATGAGTTTTTATGTATACCATTTTATGTCAAAGTCAGTTTAGTACCACTGAGACTTTAAGAGATTAAAAAGAAACAACCATAAAATAGTGGTATAAAAATAACTGTTTTTCTGTATGGATCTGCAGATTTTATACAGAGAAATGAAGAGCTTCCAACAATGTGAACATGAAATGTGGATTTACTTTTTTTCCATGCAGCCTACCTAGTCTCCGCCCAATGTTGGATGTTAATTATTTGCCACTGACAGACATGAGGATAGCACGGACATTCTGTTTCAGCAATGAAGGACAGGCATTGTACCTCGTCTCTCCTACTGAAATCCAGCGGTTAACGTACAGCCAAGAGATGTGTGATAATCTACAGGTAAGTCAGGCACATTTATTTTAAAAATCACTGGAACTGTAAAAGGAGAGAGAATGAGAGAGATGTCTAAACGCTAAAATACTGCCCTGGCCAGTGCGGCTCAGTTGGTTGGAGTGTTTGGAGTGCTGTCCTGTACACCAAAATGTGGCCGGTTGGATTATTGGTCAGGGCACATACCCAGGTTGTGGATTCAATCCCCAAGAGGCAACCAATCAATCAATCCATCTCTCTCTCCCTCCCTCCCTCCCTTCCTCTTTCTAAAGAAAAAAAAAATGTTTTTAAGTATTGTTTAAAATTTTTTAAAATATAATATTGGACCATACAATAAAGATGCCTTTCCTAGAATATTATGTTCATCACTGTGACCTACCAAGTTCTAGTGTAGTTCTAGGTATACACAGAAAAAAATAAGGGGAAAATGTGAAGATTATGCACATTAATGGTTAGTTATTTTGTTGTTATTTCGTTTTTGCCTGTGAGAATGTTCTGAAAGATTATAAATTTTCCCTCCAGGGTGCAGAATATGTCTGTGCACACAAAAATTGTGCATACAATTCAGAAAGTTCATTGACTTTAAAAAAAACAACAACAACAAAACTTAATTTGTTTAAGAGCCATACAAAATAAATACATACTAATTCTATGGGTTGGAATTGGGCGTTTGTCTTTGGTCATAGCAGTAAGCAGAGGCGAGAAACAATAAATATGAAAGCCTGTGCAACCCTGGATAAATAAAAGTGGTCAGAAAATTTTTTAAAAATAGCTTAGAAATTTTATTGGTTCAATCCCCTCATTTTACAAATAAGAAAACTAAGATTCGTTCATTTTAACAGAGGTTAAGCTCTGAACTATTCAAGTTGTATTTTGCCCATTTGTATAACTCTGGGTATTTTACTACCTGTATGCTCTACTTTAAACCCAAAGTTATACAAGTGCTCTGTGGAATTGCTGTCTCTACATGGCTGTGCCAGTACTGGGGAGACGTGCAAGAGGGACACCTGGGTTGATGAACAGAGGGACGGGGCAGTTAGAAAAAGACTGTAAAGGTTGAGCAGGAGTTACCCTCAGGAATGGATGGCTGGGGATGGAAAAGGTAGTGGTATTCTTGACAGAGTAGTGCCATGTGGAAGTCCAGAGGTTTAGGAAACTGCCAACAAAGCTCAGAATTGGGAGGTGAGAAGAGTGAAGGGATGGTGCCAGAGAATTAATTCGTCAAGAATAGAGCTTGGAGCACCTTGTAAACTCCTTAAGGCATCTGGCATTTATCCCAAGGGCAACAGGAAATGATTCAAAATAGTGGGCAAATTTGTTTATTGAAACTAGTATTCTGGTTGCAGTATGATAATTGGTTTGAGGAATTAGGACTGAAGGTAGGGAGAAAAATTGGGAGGCTTTTAAAAGATAACTAAAGCCAAAAATAATGGTGGCTTGAAATAAAATAGCCAGCAGTGAGGATGGAGAAAAGTTAGCAGATTTAATAGCTAAGAAGTGTAATCAGTTGGATTGGAGGGTTATTAGAGGTAGGAGTGAGGGAAGGAAGGAATTAATAACTATTCCTGGTTTCTTGGCTTGGGAAGCTAACTAGATGTACACTGCCATTTCCAAAGAGAAAGGGTCCAGGAGGCCCTGGCCAGTTTGGCTCAGCAGTTAGAGTGTCGGCCTGCGGTCCGGAGAGACCCGGGTTCAGTTCCCGCTAAGGGCACGTACCTCGGTTGCAGTTTGTCCCCGACCCTGGTTGGGTTGTGTGGGTGGCAGCCACTCGATGTCTCCCTTTCATGTCGATGTTTCTCTCTCTCTCTGTTCCTCTCTCTCCCTCCCACTCTACCTGAACAAAGAATGGAAAAATGTCCTCGGGTGAGGATGATAAAAAAAAAAGGGGTCCAGGAGGAAGAGCATAGGTCTGGTGAGCAGAGGTGAAGGGAGATGATGAAGACAGAGCCATGCTGCAGGTTCATAGATAAACTGCGATTAGGTCACAGATCTCCTAACTTTGGGTTGAAGTTCCTTCCTCCACATTGATAGTTCTCAAATTTTGATCTACTTTAGAAAGAGAGCAAGTTTAAAGTATAGGTAAGCAGAGTACATTTTTGTAAATTCTGATTTAGTGTGTATGGAATAAAGCCTGAGCATCTGTATTTCTAACAGGATTTCCCCCCAGTCATCCTAAAGCACAACAAATACTGCTCTAACAACCACCGTGTTATCTTTTGACCTATTAATTTATTTTTAGTTACTCTAATGCATTTTTCTTTGAATTTGATACAGGACATGCTGGGAGATTTGTTTACTCCCATAGAGACACCAGAAGCTCAAAACAGAGGTTTTCTAAAGGGACTGTTTGGTGGAAGTGGACAAACATTTGACAGAGAAGAGCTCTGTGAGTAAACTCCTGATCATAAAATTTTATCTCAAAATAGAAGACCCGTGTGTGTGTGTGTGTGTGTGTGTGTGTGTGTGTGTGTGTAACTTAATGTAATGTGTGACTTCAAATTCTAGACTAGATTATTTTGCTTCTATGCCATGAAAATTGTTTTTGTTTATCAAACATGAATAAGATTGATCACTTTATATTAGGAAAAAGTACATGAAATTCTTACAAATAATGAGTAAGCTAATAAATGTGTCATTTGCAAATAGATTATGCCTGCAAAGCAGGGTGAAGACAGTCAGTTTATAAAATCTGGAAAAAACATGTTTGAATCTCCTGCCTTTAACCACTTCTGAGAAACAGATTCTTTCTTTAGAACACAAGGTTTATCAATGCTACAGAATAAATTACTTTCAATATCTAACACTGAGACTCTGACAAACAATAATCAAAAAGCAGCAGAAAGATACTAGGGAACATTCTTAGGAAGAAGTTAAGAATATATCTTCCTCATACACTGTTAGTGAGAGTGTAAATTTGTGCAGCTAGTATGGAAAACAGTACGGACATTTCTCTAAAAAATTAAAAAAACATGCCCGGCTGGTGTGGCTCAGTGGATTGAGCATCGTCCCATGGACTGAGAGGTCCCAGTTTCATTTCTAGTCAGGGCACACGCCCAGGTTGCGGGCTTGACCCCCAGTAGGGGGCGTGCAGGAGAGAGACAATGGATATTTCTCACATCAATGTTTCTATCTCTCTCTCCCTTCCTCTCTCGCTAAAAAAAATCAATAAAAACATATTGTTTTAAAATGTATAAAAATAAAGAAACAGAGCTGCCACTTCTGGGTAATTATCCAAAGAAAACAAAAACACTATTGCAATAACATGTACAGAGTGTCCCCAAAAATGTATACACAATTTGAATGATTATAATAAAGTCAGTGTTTATTGACATATAGTTCATTTTCAAAATGTAAAAAAGTCTACAGAAATGAATAATATTTTGTCAATGCCTGTTTTCAAACTGATGACCATTCTGGTCCAGGCACTGCTGGTAACAGGGAGCAATGGAAGAGCAAACACCAAGAATCATTTCATTCGGGATTTGTGTGCATTCTCTTTCCATAGCTGCCCTCAATTCGTTGACTGTTCCCAGTTTTGTACCATAAACTTTATCTTTTAGGTAACCCCCTAAAAAAGTCAAGTGGATACATTTTCTTTGTTCAAAGCTTAGTCTGGCTTCACTCATTATTTCAAACCTGAAAAGGAGTGAAAATTAAGTGAGCTATCAGCTGTTAAAGTGTGTATACATTTTGGGGGACACCCTATATGTACCCCTATGTTCATTGCAGCATTATTACAGTAGCCAAGATATGGAAGTAACCTAGATGTCCAGTGATAAATAACTGGGTAAAGAAGATGTGCTATACACACACACACACGACTATTTTTCAACCATAAAAAAGAATGAAATCTTGCCATGTGAAACAATATGGATGGACCTAGAGAATACTATGCTAAGTGAAATAAGTCAGACGGAGAAAGACAAATATCATGATTTCACTTATATGTGGAATCTAAAAAGCAAAAGTGCCCAGCCAGTGTGGCTCAGTAGATTGATTGAACATTGTCCCATGAACTGAGAGGTCCCAGTTGGATTCCCGGTCAGGGAACATGCCAAGGAGGCTCGATCCCCAGGAGGGGGTGTGCAAGAGGTAGCCAATTGATATATCTCTCACATTCATGTTTCTATCTCTCTCTCCTTCCCCTCCCCCAGAAAAAAAATCAATAAAAACCCATTAAATAAATAAATAAAATGTCCAGAATGGGTAAATCCACAGACAGAAAGTAGCTTAGCAGTTACCAGGCAAGAAGAGATTGAGGAGTGACTGCTAATGGCTATGGAGTTTCTTTGGGGTGATGAAATAAATGTTCTGAACTTAGATGGGGGTGACAGCTGCACAACTCTGCGTACACCAAAACCACTGACTTGTACACTTTAAAAGGATGAATTTTATGGTATGTGAATTACATTCCAATAAAGCTCTTTTATCTTTTTTAAAAAATAGATTTAGATTCTATTCCTAATGTTACCTCTTTGGGAATGCTTACTAAATTTTTACCAAGACAGCTGTTTTTCAATTTTAAAAAAAAATTATTTTATTAAAATGATATGAAACTGAGCTTTCTAAGTGACAAGTAAACTTTTAGTCTTTCATAAAGTAACCAAATTTCAACATAAGTATATTAATGCCCATCATGCATATACCTCATTCTCTACTACTTACAGAGAGAGAGAGAGAGAGAGAGAGAGAGAGAGAGAGAGAGAGACTTAAAAGCAACAACTGAGACCTGCAAAGGCTGATAGCAAAATAAACAGAGAACATTAGAATGAAGACTTGGACCAAAATTTAAACAAAAGAACAGACCTGAGACTGGAACAGACACTAATGTGGGTTAAATATGAATTCACACATGGTGAGAGCATCCCAATTCGGCAACATTAAGGATGCAATTATGGGGCTTCCTGTCAAGATCACAGAGTAGGTAAACTCTGATCACCTCCTCCAGTGATCCCACAAAACTACAACTAGATTATAGAACCATCATCAAGAACCACCTGAAGACTAGCTGAACAGAATTCCTATAACTAAGAATATAGAGAAGAAGCCACATCAAAACTGGTAGGAGGGATAGAGACTTGGAATGGGCAGGTCCCACACCCACAGTGTGGTGATCAAGAAGATGAAAGGAGAGACTTCCGGTCAAGATGGTGACATAGGTAAACGCGGTATCGCGTCCTCCCACAACCACATCAAAGTTACAACTAAACTACAGAACAACCATCATTCAAAACTGCCTGAAATCAAGCTGAATGGAAGTCCTACAACTACGGAATTAAAGAAGCAGCCACATGGCGACTGGTAGGAGGAGCAGAAGCAGACAGGCTGGACCCACACCCACATGTGGCAGATAAAAATCAGGAGAATACCTTGGCTGAGAAGGTCCTCTCTGAGGACTGAGGGGTCCCCATCCCACACCATGCACCCTGCTCAGGGTTCCAGTGCCAGGAAGAGAATCCCCATAACTTCTGGCTGAAAAAATCAGTGGGAACTGAGGCTCAGCAAGGCTGAGGCAGCTGGAATCCCAGGCAGCTCCTCTTAAAGGGCCCGCGCATGGACTTATCGGATTCACTTCTTTTAAGCTTGAAGGGGAGGCAGCTTGAGGGGTGCCAAAGACATACAGGGAAGAACTGAGCTGTTTGGCACTGGAGCAAGGGCTGGAGAAGGGGCTTTCTCCGGGACTTACACCCTCCAGGTTCCAGAGTGGGGGAAACAGCCTGAAAGGCACCAGAGACATACAGGGAAGAACTGAGCTGTTTGGCATTGGAGCAAGGGCTGGAGAGGGGGCTTTCTCCTGCACAGACATGCTGTCAGAGGCCTTTGTTCCTTTGGTGAGCCCTTCCCTGGGACGGCAGACAGCCACCATATCTGGGACTCCAGTAACCTGGCTCACACTGGTAGCCCCACCCTGGTGATTCCCTGAGGCCCCGCCCCACCCAACTTTCAGGCCCACCCAAGCTGTTACCAGTTGCTTAACCATAGGATTGGCCTGTCTTGGATCCTGCTTCAGATATTCCTACATTCTTTCAAATAAGCAGCATCTGGTCTCAGATAGCTCTATACCTCTCGTTAAGTAATACATAGAAACAAACACAGGGAGGCAGCCAAAATGAGGAGACAAAGAAACAGGTCCCAAATGAAAGAACAAAAAAAAATCTCCAGGAAAAGAACTAAGCGAAATGGAGATAAGCAATCTAACAGATTCCGAGTTCAAAATACTGCTTATAAGGATGCTCAATGAACTTAGTGAGAACCTCAGCAAACTTAGTGAGTGCCTCAAGAGTTTAAAAAGACCAGTCAGAAATGAAGGAGGCACTAACTGAAATAAAGACAGATTCAAGAGTAGAGTAGGTAGAGCCAAGAAGCAAACCATCAATTTGGAATATAAGGAAGCAAAAAACACCCAATCAGAACAGCAAAAAGAGAAAAGAATCCAAAAAAATTAGGATAGTGTAAGGAGCCTCTGGGACAACTTCAAGCGTGCCAACATTTGCATCTTGGGGGTGCCAGAAGGAGAAGAGAGACAACAAGAAATCGAAAACGTATTGGAAGCAATAATGGCAGAAAACTTCCCTAACTTGGTGAAGGACACAGACATACAAGTCCAGGAAGTACAGAGAGTCCCAAACAAGATGAACCCCAAGAGGCCCACACCAAGACACATCATCATCAAAATGCAAAAGGTTCAAGACAAAGAGAGAATCTTAAAAGCAGTAAGAGAAAAGCAGTTAGTTAGCTACAAGGGAGTTCCCATAAGACTGTCAGCTGATTTCTCAAAAGAAACTTTGCAGGCCAGAAGAGAGTGGCAAGAAATATTCAGAGTGATGAAAAGCAAGAACCTACAACCAAGGTTACTCTATCCTGCAAAGCTGTCATTTAGAACCGATGGCCTATATATAGTTTCCCAGACAAGAAAAAGTTAAAGGAGTTTATCACCACCAAACTATTATATGAAATATTGAAGGGTCTTTTTGAAGAAAAAGATAAAATATATGAGCAAACAAAATGGCAATGAATACATATCTATCGACAATGGAATCCACAAAGAAAATGAACAAGCAGAACAGAAACATTCTCATAGATATAGAGAACATTTTGTTGGTTGCCAGATGGGAGGGGGGTTGGGGGAATGAGTGAAAAAGGTGAAGGGATTAAGAAGAACAAATTGGTTGCTAAACTGACAAACCTCAAGGAGAAGGGGGTTTGGAGGTGGGAAGAAATTAACCAAAGAACTTATATACATAAGCAATGGACACAGACGATAGTGTGGGAAAAGGCAGGAGGGGTGCAGGAGTGGGGATGAGGGGGGTCAATGGGAGGAAAATGAGGAACATCTGTAATACATTCAACAATAAAAATAAAAATAAGAAGAAAGGAAGGAAGGGAGGGAGGGAGGGAGGGAGGGAGGGAGGAAGGAAGGAAGGAAGGAAGGAAGGAAGGAAGGAAGGAAGGAAGGAAGGAAGGAAGGAAGTGGAAAAAATTCCCAGTCATGGAGGTCCCCTGAGGAGCCAGAGGTCCGCAGTCCAGGGCTCCAGTAGTAAGAAAAAAGCTTCCCCATAACATCTGGGTGTAAAAAACAGCAGGGATCACATCTGACAAGGACAGGGGGCTACTGGAGACTGAGGAGAACCTCTTAAGGTTCTTGTACTGACTCCCTCACTCAAGAACTCATAAGTTCTAAACTCCAGCACAGGGGCAGCAGCTGGAAAAGCACCAGGGGTATGGGGAAGGAAGTATGTCGGCAGGGCTGGAGGGGCAGGGGTCAGGGGCAGCTCTCTCCAGGGACAGAAGCGCTGGCAGGTGCCTTTTTTCCTTTGTGGAGCTCCCTCCCACCCAGCTGGCCAGCACAGGAGGGCCCCAAATCTGTGCTGTCCATTAACCAGATTCACACTATTCACCCCACCCTGGTGACTCCCTGACATCCCACCCAACTCACCTGCCTGGTCCGAGCCTCTTCCAGAGGCTCCTCCATACAAGTGGCCTGACTTTCCCCCAATCTATCAAAGATCCAAACACTCCAAACAAGCAGCAGCCAACTAAAACAAAAAGATAAAATAAAAAACAAACAACTCATAGATACAGAGAACAAGTTGGTAATGGCCAGATGAGAGGGGTTTGGAGGGCTGGGTGAGAAAGGTGAAAGGATTAAGAGTACAAATGGCCAGTCATCAGGCCGGTTATCAACATAGTCATGGCATGCAAACACAGCACAGGGAACACAGCCAATAATATCATAACAACGATGGTGCCAGGTGGGTGCTAGACTGACCGGGGTGATCGTTCTATAAGGTATATAAATGTCTAATCACTGTGTTGTACCTCTGAAACTAATAATGTTGCATGTCAACTGTAATTAAAAAATAAAATAACCAGAGAATGTAATTACACCATATTGTATGGAATACACGCAGACACCAGCACACATACGTGAAGGCTTATGACAACAGTAGCTCTCGCAGTCTCATTCATAGGCATTTTTCTTGGTTAAGAACTAACATTTCCAAATACATATCCATGATAGGGTCAAACATGTCTGTCTCTTACTGGAGAATTATGACAGTAGAATTTAATATAAGTACTTTGGTGATAAACTTGACTGTCACTATTTGAATTACTGACAAATATTTTCGATTGCTATGGCTTGAATTCCCAGTCGGGGAAGCTTCCGCGGGAAAAGCATCCCGCAGCCTTGCGCAGCACATTCCCGGGCCCGGGATCGAAGGGATGAAAGGCGCTGCCGGCGGGGTGATGGGAGAGCTGACGCGCGCTCGGATCGCCCTGGACGAGAGGGGACAGAGGCTGGGAGAGCTGGAGGAGAGAACTGCAGGCATGATGACCAGTGCAGAAGCATTTTCCAAACATGCACATGAGGTAAACTGCTAAGTAAATATAGGCATCTTCATACAGTAATATCTGTAAACACTCAGGTTCTGCACGAGGAAGCTCCAACAGAGATCCCTGTAAGTCACCCTGGGTCTCACTGCAGTGCAAGTATCACAATTCCACCAGCACTTGGGTACTTGGGTGAAAGGCACTTTTTTAAAAATGCTGTAATTCATTATCTTGGGGATAACCTAGGAGACAGTTACCCATTAGCTCTGACCCCCTGGGTGTGTATTGTGCATCACCTGCTAACACGGGTGGCCTGGGGAGACTCCATGCTCCCCAGGAAGGGGCGAGGGGAGGGGAGGCTGGGGTCCACACTCCTTTTTGTCTCAGTCACTGAAAATGACTTCCTGTCAGCTGAGTCTTTACAGCTTGCTTTATTTTCCTAAAGAAACTTTGTCATTTTATAAAATAAAGGAAGTTTTATAAGTTTTAAGCTTTTCTGAGGTATTTATGATTAACTCAATATGAGCTTGTGTGATTAGCCCTTTTAAAGATTTTTTAACGTCTCATGGTGACTATTTTTTCTTTGCAGTTAATGCTGAAATACAAGGATAAAAAATGGTACCAATTCTAAACTTCTAAAGAAGCTGTGACTGCTTTGAGAAACCATTATTCAGGGAAAACAGATTTATTCCCAGCATCACTATTCAACTGCTAGAAGCCAGTTTCTTCTACAAAATGTTCCATTACAATCCATCTGAAGTTATCACGAGAGTGACTTATCAGAGACACTGTGCGCCCGGAAGGCTGGAACCCTGGCTGGACCCCGGAGTATGGCTGAACTTGCCGTTTCCCGCGTGGACTGGAGCTATCATCTTGGCCTGTCATTTGCTAAGGATTTACATTTAGGAACTACGGGGAGTCCTCCTGATTTGAAAAAAATCCTGTACAAACAAAACCATTAATGCACTTAATGAAAAAAACAATCTTTGCATGATAAATTAACATCTTCTGAGGAGAAGAAAAAAAGCATGTTGTGACAGAAGAAAAAAAGATTAATGGTTAAACTATTTTTATAAATTGGGCCACACCTGACGATTTAGAAAATCTGCATTAGAAGTTATCAGTGCATTTCAAGTACATTTGCCATACCCAACTGAACAGAAGAAGAAAACAAAACCAAAGTTTTCTTCTCGTCTATAGCTTTCATTACACTAAAACATTAGTAAATTCTGATGGCAAGAGTCTGATTAACATCCTCTCGCTCCATAATATCTTACACCATTCACAGTTCTTGGTCATAATCAAGTATTGCCGGTACACTGAATTACTTCTAACACATTATTTCCATTCCTGTCACTTTCAGAACAAATCATGCAGGGTTGGGACACCTCAAAGCATTTTTTTTTTCAGCCTGGTTCTGCTCTCTGCAGGGGAGTTGACTGATAGGTTTGGGGAAACTAGACTGAAGATAGGAACAATGTCATTAGCTTTGAGAACTGATTTTACACACTCTGGTTTCAGTTTCTAAAGTGATATATTTTTACTGTTCCATTTGTATCCTTGTCTGCCAATTACACAGTATATTACTGTTCACACCCAGTGGGTTCAATCCAAAGGTGCTCTTGCAGCCTGACACTCACAGACCAAACTGGTCCTCTTCATCGTGATTCAGTAAAACCTCAGTTGATGTTTCGGGAAAGGAATTCTGATTAAATACATTTCTGACTAACAAGGGCTTTCATTAGAAACTAATTCTGGTTCAGTACTTGTTATTGAAAATCTTTGTAAAATACAGTGGTGTTTTTGCAATCATAGCCTCAGTCACCATTATGCACAACAGAAATACACAGAGAGTTTAATGATACAAAACCAATAATTTTGTCATTCATCAGAATAAATAATATAAACCAGAGGACTATGTCAGTAGATACCAAATACCTTTTCCTTATTAAAAACTGTTTTCAAAATGAAATAAACAGTATCCTTAACGTGATAAAAGGCATCTATCATAACTCAACTGACAACTGGAGACAAAACAAAGCAAACACACCTGCTGTCATTATTTAACATGAGCCTGGAAGTCAAAAGTCACAGAAGTGAATATATGCAGATTCTAGGACCCATCCTGTGATATGTTCCTTCAAAAAGAGTTGTTGTTTTTTTTTTTTAATTAATGGGTTTGGCTTATTGAATTTTGATTAATCAAGACCTTACTAGATATACATTCGTGTTTTAAGAATTCATCATTTTCCTGAAGTCCCAAGTTATTTTAATAGCCAAAAATAGTATTTCTAGGGTATTTTTAGTGAATTTGTTGAAAGTCGTACTTCCTTTAAATGTTCTTAGTAATTCTGAGAAGAGCGAAGATGACTGAAATAGTCGGCATTTCTCATGAGTGCTTGAATTCGCCTGATTTCTCATCAAAGCCCCTCCGTGAATCTCTCCAGACTCCTGTGAACAGCCTTAGGGCAACAAAACCTGACTTGGAAGTACAACACGATACATAAGATTACACAGTAAGAACGTGAACAAAACCTGAGACCAAGAGTTGGGAAACATGGGCAGTCAAGTTGCAGTGCACTGTTTGTACTGTGTTACAAGGACCCAGCTTTCTGTTCTGAACAGATGCTTTATAATTTCTATATTTAAAAAAACTAAAATATTAGTTTATTTTAGGAACAATGAAATTCAGTTCAAAGTGGCATTCAGTTCAATTAGTATCTCTGAAGTCCCCAATAAGATCTGATTTAACTTGTTCTACATTAGGGTGTCTTGGCAGTGGCACTGTTAACTCTCTGTTGTGGGGACTGTCCTTTGCACCCCAGGATGTTCAGCAGTAGCTCTGGCCTCTGTCTGCCAGATGCGAGGAGCAACCCCCGAGTAATGACGATCAAAAATGTCTCCAGCCATTGCCAAAACCGCTCCCGATGGAGAGCCATGTTCTACATCATTTAAAGACAGGTTAAGTGTGAATATATATGTCTTGTATAAATTAAATATAAGTGCACAGTGTCTTAACAAGATAAATTAGTAAACTCAAAATTACATGTGTGGTTCATATGCAATAAAATCCTATTTGGGAGAAAACTTATATGAATCAGTAAAAAAATTAACAGTTACGTGATATTTTATAGCATACAGAGAAAATGCCAAAAAGGACAATATAGAAGTGCTTAACTCTCTGGCTTTAATGAATAGATCAAAAGTTTGTAATTAGCACAATTGGAAGTAAACAGGTGCTTCTGAAATGCTTGAAAAGAATAGGTTCTTTTAAAATGTGTCTTTCAATATTGTTTTTATAAACCCTTTCATACTGTAAGGGTAACTTTATCCCACAAACTCCTGATTAGTGGAATACAAATTAATGAGGTTTTACTGTATCAAAATAATTTTTATAATGCAAAGAGATAGCAATAACAAGAATCTAACGTGGATGTGATTTTTCTCTTTGAACATTTTTATTCTGTTGCACTCACCTTAGGACATGTGTACACACACACACACATAACGCACACAGACCATCACCATCACCATCATCATCGGCAAACGAGTACTATTGATCTATGTGATTCTTTACATCTCCTTATCTACCATTTAAATGTTTTGCCTCTATCTTAGAACATAAAAATACTAATAACTTGGACAATGATAGAGAAATGGACTCAGCCTTGGTTGTCATCAAAATTACATTCTATCTGCTAAGGTGGCATCAGAAAATAAGGCTTGCAAACCGAAGCCTCTACAAGTTCAGCTCATGACCCTCTGACTCCCTTGAGAGATAAGCCCGTCTTAATATCCCAGGAGAAAATGGGCCTCTGCATTCTGTTCATCAGTGGGAATCTAGACGTGTTTTTCTGGTCCAATAAGCAATAATTCCTATCATGAAGTCATCCATTAAGCCTGGAGTTTGGAGGGAAGGGTGGCTGATTTATCATTTATTTTAATCCCCTATAAAAGTAGTGCCACTGATTTTACTTCCTACACTTCACTGAGACCCAGATTTAGTGCCCCAGTCACCATAAGGGTCATTGCCTGACTAACTCTGGAAGGACAGTGACAGAACGGAGTGAGATGTTTTCCGATAATTCAGTCATACAGACATTTTTCAAATCTTTTCTATAGCCTTTGAATGATGCTCAAGCTAATACATCAAAATCCAATTATTTATTCCTCAAAGATCTCAAGAGGTTGATTGTAAAGGAACAGGGTCCTTTTATGTGACCTATGTGTCTAGTTTTAAAGGTACCATCTGTATGTATTACTGCGTTAGGGGAGGACCATGGCTTTGAAAGGGGGGGGGGGTGTGAGGAAAATTAAGATTAGCTCTTTGAGATACTTGGTTGTAAATGTTTGGCAGAGAAAAGGAAGGGGGTCCGGAAAAGTAAACTACAAATTCTCTCCTTGGTTTAGGATCATGGGGACAACCCGGGAGCAAACCTGTGTGATTGCAGCCTGCCCCTGTGGGAAGACATTGTAACTTGACCACTTCTGTTCAGAGAGGGTGATGCCCAAAGGAGTCAGACATTCCTGTCCTGCTCTTTGCATCAGGGGAAAAACATAGGAGCCTTCACAGCTTCCTCGCCTCTGACCCTTCAGCCTCGGGCTCGATTCTGACTGGGTACTATGCACACACACACTGGCCCAAGTGCCAGAAATACTTGCCAGTAAGTTGTGTATTTGGACACCACCATTCCAGGGAGCATGGTTGTCACGTAGCAGGTTTAGTGTGTACATTTGCAGGTAGCATAGCCCTGAAAGGATGAAATACAGACTAGGTAAGGTCTGATTGAGGAAGGAAGAGGAAGTGCCCACTGGGTTGAGGTGGGGAGAGACATGGAAGCCAGAGTGAAGTGTGAAAGGCTTTGAGGAGGACCAGAGGCACTGAAGGTTGCATTTACTTGGATATTTATGTGGAGAAGTGATTCTCAACCTTGGCTGTGCATAAGAATCACCTGAGGAGCTTTTAAAATTCCCAATTACATAAAAATCTCTCAACGTGGGAACCACACATCAATGTTTTTGAAAGCCCCCAAAGTGGTTCCAATGCCCAGCCAAGATTGATAACCACTGCTTTATGGCCAACCAAGGAAGACACATTTGTCTACCTTGGCTGCTGTCCAAGCCCTACTTCTGAGGGGTCAGGAAAGGCAAGATATAGGAGATACAGTGTTGGCTGGATTGATATTGTGTGTCACAACCCAAAACAAATGTTCTGTGCAAATTTTCGACCAGACAGTGCCCCATTAACTCTTAACTCTGTGATTTTCTCCTATGTGACTTGGCCATTAATGAATCCAATTCAAATATCTAGGTTTTGATTACCTTATACATATGACACCACAAAACACCAGAAATAGCATAAGAAATTCAACAGCATGTAAGCTACATGGAAAACTAATTCTCAATAGTTGCATAGTGGAAATGCTCAAAACAATCATTTACTAAATTAGGTCCAAATTTATTATTCATTCTTCGTTCGGAGGAGATGTGGGTACCAGGTACCTGTTCTGCTATAGGTATATTTTATTGGACTTGATCTTAGCAAGAAGGGACAACAACTCTTCTTTTTGATTGTTGTCTTAGCTCCCAGGGCCACTTGGATTCATTTTCTTAGCAACTGGGCGTGTGTTTAAGGGAGAAGAATGTCTG